CCCCCCCCAATATATCTTTATTGATTTCAGAGCGAGGAAGGGAGAGGGAGAAAGAGAAACATCAAGGGTATGAGAGCCGTCACTGATGGGCTGCCTCCTGCATGCCCCTGACTGGGGATCTGGGGATCGAGCCTGCAACCTGGACATTTACCATGACTAGAATCGCAATCTCCCGGATCGTAGGTCGATGCTCCACCGCTGAGCCACGCCCAGCTGGGCGAGGCCACTTTGATCTGTGAGCTTTACAGATCTTGTTTTTAATACATGGTTAGAACACACAAGCACATACCTAGCAGCCTTGTTTTCATAATGTAGAATATACAAGGACATACCTGTTTTGCCACTTGGCTGTACAAGACCCACCCACAGCAATGGGTTTAGGGGTCCTTCCCCCTTAGTAACATGTCCACCAGGTGTCCCAAGGATCTGGATAGGTTGAGACATTCATCGTACTATTTCTCTGGCTTAGGATAACCTTTTCATAAGGCAATTTCTTAAAGTAGTAATGAGGCGGAAAGGGTCCTAGAAAATAAGCTAATGCTGAGACACCTGTGAAATAATGTTGTAAAGGTGTTTTCTGTGCGGGGCCCCAACTCCCATGAGCTAAAGCTAAAAACGATACCACTCAAACTAGTCAGGAAACTTGACAGTGACCTCACCAAAGTAGTACAGTCCTAGGGAAAAGGTTTCACGCATGGAATTTTGATAGGAACAAGGAAAAAACCTGGAGCAACAAAGGCCTGGTTAACTCGGGGTGAGAGCGCGGTGGGACGTTGGAAATTAAACCATGAAACAAGTATCTCATAGGAATATTTACTTACCTTTTTCCTCCCCCACACGCCTAAAGCTCTATTCAAGGCAGTCATCTCCCACCCTCGTCTTCCAGCATGGCCAATCAGGTTGCCTAAGAAGTTAACACTAGCAATCCAAAGAGTTACTCCGGAGAGTCATTTCCACGTAGGTACAAGACGACCGGCAGGCGGCAACTATTCTAACCGGTTTGGGTCACAGCGCTTGGGGTCGATGGGGAGCAGAGCCTTATGGCGGTGCCTCAATCTTGTAATTCTGAGCTAGGAGTTAGTTTTAGCTCTGGTCCCTGGGGCCTATCAAATGCCAACCTTGGCACCACGGGGGCGTAGTCTTGTTGGGGCCCTGGGGAGTGTACTTTTCTTGGGGACCAGGCCTCATAATACCATAAAAGGCTTGGTTCTTTCAATTTTGAAGCCGAGTTCTGCTGACCTTCCTGTAGGAGCGATCTTCACGACTACGCTGAGCGAAATCCACGGTTCTCGAGTCCCAGGTCCTCGGCTCCCTAGGCCCTCCCGTTGGCTCCGCCCCCGCTAGCCTTATTCGTTCACCCTCGGAACGCCCGCCGCGATTCAGACCGCGCCTCTCGCCTCGGCTCCGCCTGCCGGGCCGACGCTTGGCCCCGGCGGTACTTCGCGTTTTGAGCCGCTTGTGCCACCATAGCTGCTGTTGCCGCTGCGGCAGCGGAGCTGAAATCGCTGAGCGCGATGCCTGAGGGCGCTGTGAGCATTGCGGGCCCCGGGCCCCAGGGCTGGTGAGGCTGGGTCCGAGCGGGGGCGCTGGCGAGTAGCAGGGGCTTCTAAGGAAGGTGAAAGAGGAAGGTCCAGGGACCCTGTGGGGGGCTCCAGAGGGTCGGGGGTGGGGGTAGGAGGCTCCCCCGGCAGAACTGGCTGCCGGGCCACAGGAGCCCCGCGGTGCTGTGTCCTGGACGCTGGCGCAGGTAGTCAGGCCCCCTGGGGGTTCCGGTGGCCTCGGCGGCGTTTTTCCTTGAGCACTGCTATTGCCATGGGAACAGTTGGGCATTAACGGGGACCAGACCAGCTACCGGCCACTAGCCCTACTAAGGCCCATCCATCCCTCCAGTTTAAACGCCTCTGGCAGGCATGGGCCTATCCTTCAGACATTGTTAGGAACCGCGCAGGGCTTGAAGGCGGGGGTGAGGAGAGGGGAAGAGCAATACGTAGAGATAAGAGCGGCAGATACTGCTGGGCTGACGGTAAGGTGGCCTCTGCTATCTCAGGCCAGAGAGAGGGAATACTGGAAGACCCTGTGGAGTGGAAGGGCATTGCTGCTGTTGAGACAGATCCCAAGATTGGGCCAGGAACTGTCCAGGGACTCCTCATCATGATGGCTGTGGAAGGGTCAACCATTACCAGCCGGCTCAAGAACCTGCTGAGATCCCCATCCATCAAATTGCGCAGGAGTAAGGCAGGAAACCGGCGAGAGGACCTCAGCTCCAAGGTGAGTCCTAGTATTGGGAGCTACTTCTCCCCCCACCCATGTTCCTCATTCATCTTACTCTTTCTTGGGAAAGAGGAGGACTAGAAGCTCCTTTTGGTTCTAAAGGATCAGTGTGCACATCTCTGCCCTTCAAGAAAGCAATGATTTAGTTTTAGGTTAAAGGAAAAATAGCCGCAGTGGTGGGCATGCTGAGATTCATTGATGGAAACTGGATTTAAGAGGAAGGCAACCTGGATCCAATTCACTACAAACTAAGTCTGTGCTTCGGGAAGCCGGTTGATAACGCTATGACTCAGTTTCCCTTCTTGGAAGAGAGTGGTGGGATCACGTATCTTGTGAAGGGCTAAGCTGTGACTAATGTAGGTGCAAGTGTTCATGTCATAGCTGGGTTATGTAAGACTTTAGTAGCATAAAGAAATATGCTAGAACACCTACTCTGAGGAATTGGTTTGGCAAACAAATGCTCTTGCCTGGGGTCAAAACATATTTGTCTCTTCAGGAGACCTAAATTAATTTCACTGGAGCGTCTTAGGAATGATAACAGCAGAACAGTTCTGGTTTGCCCTTGAACGTTGCTTATTTCATTCACTATATGCCAAGAGCCACATGCCACCTTGCTGCACAAGTTCCTCAGAGGCCAAGTCCTTTTCCTTCCCCTCAGTTGTCTGGGTGTTGGTCTTTATGTTTTCTTCAACTTTGTTGAGTTCCACAACTTTGGGAATACAAAAGTTGACTAAATTTATTTAATCCCTGAGAGAATCTAGGGCTTTGTTCCCACAGGATCAGATTAGACATTTATAACTTACTAGCAACCTGTAAACACAGTAGTAGCCTTGTGTAGTACAAGATTGCTACAGGGAGAGGCATTTGAGACCGCAGCATTTTACTGACTTGCCTGTATCTCTTCAGAGATGAGTAAAGCGAATGAGGAATGATCGAGAGTGCTAATGTACAACATGGCAGGGTTCTGGGAGGACTTGGTTCAGATCCCTATGTTTTAGCAGAACCTTACTTGAATTTTGTCAGAAGGTGAACAGCTTTCCTATATATTTCTCAGAGGCCATATTAAATTGAAATTGGCTATAAGGTTCCTTGGCAGTGGAGAGAGTAACTTTTTCAAGGACTCTTTTTAATTAATGATTGTTCATATTCTCCAGATGCAGGAGAATGAGCCTGAAACTTAGAAACTTTCTTAGAGTTTACTCTGTTCACTCATTTTTGTGTTGGGTCATTGTTAGTGCTGCAAACACTCATATTCTTGATTGGTAACTTGGCAATGACCAGCACTATTGGAGCAATCTTCTTATATCTTTGGCCTCTTTTTCTGATTGAGAATGGTATAGGTAGTATAAATGTACAATGGAAATTTAGTCTTCAGTGTTAATATTTATTGTAATCTTGGTTTGGGATCCAGAAGGTCCAGTCACCATTCTTTAAAACTTCCGTGTCATTCGTCATTAATGCATTAAACAAATGTTTATTGTGTGCCTAGTATGTGTGGAATCAGTGATGAGTAAAATATTCTTTGCCATCAAAGAGCTTGTAGTTCATCATACTTGTAGACAAATAATTACAACGTGGTATGGTAAGTGGTGTCCTAGAAGTATGCAAAAGGTGGTAATGGTAGCACAGGGGAGGGAACCTAATTCAGCTTAGGGGAATTAGGAAAGACTTCACAGAGGAGGAGATGCTTCAACTGTGAGTCCTGAGGCAAGAGGAGAAGAGGAGAAGCTCTCCAGGAAAACAGTGTAAAAGGGCATCTCTTGCATCGCCATTAAACATCCCTGTTTCAAATAGGAATTCAGTATGTCAGACTCTTTTTTTTTTTTAATCCTTACCTGAGGATATGTTTTTATTGATTTTTAGAAAGAGGAAGGGAGAGAGAGAGAAACATTGATGTGAGAGAGAAATATCAATTGGTTGCCTCTTGTACACACCCCAACTCGGGGAATGCACCTGCAACCTAGGTATGTGCCCTGACTGGGAATTGAACCTGCAGCATTTTAGTGTACGGGACGATGCTCCAACCAAGTGAGCCAACCGGCCAGGGCATTGCTTCAGACTCTGTTTGTTCTAGAGCTGTGAATAAAGGAAATACTTAGCTGAAGTTGAAAGACCCTTCAGTAGTCTGACAGAGCAAGAGTACTGGTGCATATATTTAGCACCCAAAAGTAGTAGCTGTCTCTGTGTGCTTAGGACTCTACAGGTGCCTGACTCTGCACACTCCTTATTGAAGACTCTACCTAAGATGCTTCTAAAAGCCTGCCTTGTGGTAACCCGCATAGGACTTGGTGTATAAAGCTTTGTCAGCTGCTCTACTATGTGGTGGCTGTGGGTAATCATGCTAACAGTCAGAGAGCTTGTGATTAATGGACAACAAACTCTGAAATAAAATTTGAAGGCCAAAAACATATGCCTTTTGGGGGACGGGGAGCAAAGAAGCAAGTGACATATGGCCTTTATGTAGCTCTTACCTCAGATGGCCTGCCGCTTTGAATCATATTCTTCCTTTTATGTAAAGTAGCCTTTTCACTAAATTCTCCCCTATTTTTCCACCCAACTCTATATTTACTGGCACCATAGGGCCTTCTGTGACTAGCCCCACTACTTTGGAACCAATTGTTCTTTTATGTATGTCTTCATTTCAAAAGGTCAGGTGTCATGGTCTTTATTTCCTTTACATCACACTGTATTGTGTAAGGTATGCAGTAAATACTAAATGAATAAGTGAATGAGAACAATTTAAAGATGTCAAATATGGTAGGGATAAATTTGGAATTCTATAAGAATAGGAAATGGTCAGGAGGAGTTTGTGACCTCTTTAGAAGAGAAATCAAAATGTTGTAAAAGAAGTAGAGATGCAGCCTAGTTAGGAGTGAACAGCATGAGAGAGACAGGGAAGTACATATGTGTAGAAAGTAGTGCTCATGAAAGACTTTTTAATTAAGCAGAGACCTATTTTTAAAAAGTGGTTAAAATACAGTTAAAAGCTGAGGTGAGAGCTGTAGAGATGGGTATTTAAATTACTAGAGACAGAGTAGATGAGAGCTGGGATTTTAAAAAACTTCTCTAAGGCAGGGAAATCTCTGCAGTATAATAGAATTGGAAGTAATTTGAGGTTTTATGCCATATCTGCTGAGTCTTGATGAAGTGTAACTCAAAGTTATCAGTTGTAAACACCCTTCCACTTTGAATCCTGTACAGTTAATTGTCAGTTCTACCTCTCATCTCAATTGAGGCTGTTTTCCTTAAGAAGCAAACGTGTGCGCTTTTGGTAGTTAACCTTCCCCCTCTTAAAGTTTCTGAAAGATTTTTATGTGAAGGATGCTGGGTTGTTTTTCTCCTTAACAAAGGATAGAAATGGACTGAAGCCAAGTAGACAAGATTTAAGTTAGGGATACAAAAGCATTGTCTGTGTTGGAGGGTTGTTAGATTTTGAAAAAGTAAATGAAGGAGGTTTTGAAATCTTCCTCCTCCTTAATAGTCATTAATCCAGCCTGGGTTATAAATCATCCCTTCTGGAAACAATGGGCAGGGCAATTTGCAGCTTGCTTCTAGTTATCAGTTTTTATGAATACGAGTCTAATGAATTCTTGTATCCCCCCACCCACCTTATTTCTCCTCTCTCTCATTTTTCCCCTCAATTTTTTCCTCTCTGATTATATGGTGGTACTTTGAACCTTTTAACATATGGCTCTAAGAAGAGTTTGTGTGAAGAGTTTGTGAGTTTCGTGAAGGAGGAAAAAAAACACCAGCAATCTAATTTCAAATTTTGCTTAGCATTTGAGCCCAGGTATTAGTATTACAATCCTTTAATACACCTATTTAGTAGTGGAGGAACATTTTTATTTTTAATTAATTAATTAATTATTTTTAATCCTTACCCAAGGGCATGTTTTTCATTGATTCGAGAGAGGAAACAGGAGAGAGAGAGGAAGAGAGAGAGAGAGAGAAAGAGAAATATCAATGTGAAAGAGAAATATCGATTGGTTGCCTCCGGTACATGCCCTGACCAGGGATTGAACCCACAACCTGGGCATGTGCCCTGATTGGGAATTGAACACATGACCCTTTGGTGCACAAAACAATGCTCTAACCAACTGACCCACACCAGCCAGGGTGAAACATTTATTTTAAAAACATTTATGGATCATTGGCTCTAACTTGATGGTTCTCACTTGGGGAAAGGGTCAAGAGGGCAGTGAGACATCAGAATACCTGTGCAACATTTAAAAAATACCCATTCCATCCGCCTGGCGTGGCTCAGCAGTTGAGCATCTACCTCTGATCCAGGACATCTTGGTTCGATTCCTGGTCAGGGCACATTGCCCAAGTTGTGGGCTTGATCGCTAGTGGAGGTATGTAGGAGGCAGCAGATCAATGACTCTCATTACTGATGTTTCCATCTCTCTCTCCCTCTTCCTTCTTCTCTCTGAAATCAATAAAAATATATTTTTAAAAAATATGCATTCCTGGGCACCATCCTAGCTATATGGAATCAGAACCTTTGGGGGTAGAGTTTGGTAGTTGTGTATCTGTTAAGTTACACCAGAAGCCCACTGCTGGATTCTGAACCCCTGGATTAGTGCTGAGACCCTCATATCTGTTGGCTTCATACTGAAGTCCACATTGAGGCTTCTTGTAAGTAAATGTACTCTTCTCCTTGAATAGTTTAAAAAATGTTTTTTAATTTTTCAGTTACCATTGTCATACAATATTATATTGGTTTCAGGTATACAACATAGTGATTAGACATTTATATCACTTATGAAGTGATCATCCTGATAGGTCTAATACCCATCTGGCACCATAAATAGTTATTACAATATTATTGATTCTATTCCCTATGTTGTACTTTACATCCTTGTGACTGTTTTTATAACTAGAAATTTGTACATCTTAAACCCTCCCCCTTTTTCACCCATCCGCCTATCCATCAACAATCATTTTACTCTCTTAATCTATGAGGTTTTTTTGTTTGTTTTTAAAAATATATCTTT